TCTCTAAAACCAAAAAGGCTAAGACTCCTTCCACCCTGTTCTTAAAATTTTATTATTTATTTTTACAATTCTTTAAAAAAATTTTTGATTTCCAATTTCTTTCCTTCCTTCCAGATCTCTTCTCACATATTGGGAAGGCAAGCAATATGATATCAATTATATATATGAAATCATGCAAAACATATTTCCATGTTACCATGTCACAAAAAAGCAAGAAAAATAAAGAGAGTGAAAAATTATACTTCAATTTGCACTTAGAGTTTATCAATTTTTTCTCTGGAGGTGGACAACATTTTTCATTATGAGTCTTTTGGAATTGTCTTGTATCATTGTATTGATCAGAATAGTCCTTCACAGGTGATCATCATTATAATATCCTTATTAATGTGTACAATGTTCTCTTGGTTCTCACTTAATTCTGCATCAGTTCATATAGGTCTTTCTAGGATTTTCTGAAGCCATCCTGCTCATCATTTCTTATAGCATGATTGTATTCCATCACAATCATGTAACACAATATGTTCAGCAACTCCCCAATTGATGGGCATTGCCACCAGAAAAGAAGTGCTATAAATATTTTTGTGCATATAGGCCTTTCTCTTTTTTTTCTTTGATCTTTTTGTTATACAGATTGAGTAGTGGTATTGCTGGGCAAAAGGGTATACACAGTTGTATAGCCCTTTGGACATAGTTTCAAACTGTTCTGCAGAACGGTGGACCAGAATAATTCCACTAAGAGTGCTGTAGTGTCCACATTGTCCCACATCGCCTCCAATATATGTCATTTCTCTTTTCTGTCATGTTAGCCAATCTGATAGACATGAGGTGGTACCTCAGAGTTGTTTTAATTTGCCTTTCTCTAATCAATAATTATTTAGAGCATTTTTATATGACTGTAGATAGCTTTGGTTTCTCCTTCTGAAAACTGCCTGTTCATCTCCTTTGACCTCTTATCAATTGGGGAATGCCTCTTATTTTTATAAATTTGACTCAGTTTCCTATGTATTTGAGAAATGAAGGCTTTATCAGAAAAATTTGCTGTAAAATGTTTTCATATTACTTCATTGTCCATGGTAACTTTTAGTAAAATGTAGTTTCTTTGATTATCTCTTTTAATTAGATCTATTTTTGTTTTTGTTTTGCCTGAGATCATGGTTGTTACCCCTGCCTTTTTTACTTCAGTTGAAGAATAATAGATTCTTATTTTTTACTCTGTGTATGTCTTTCTGTTTCAAGTGTATCTCTTGTAAACAATGTGTTATTGGATTTTGGTTTCTAATTCATTCTACTATCTGCTTCTATTTTATGGGTGAGTTCAAGGCTAATAGTCCTTGATCTAGAGAGAGCTGAAATCAGAGACTTTAAAGCAGAATTTGATCTTTAGGGGTGTGACTGCCCCTCTCTGGGATAGTTAATCTGCTCCAATGAAGACAGATCCTTAGTTCAAGTGATACTGGCATCTGGTGTGATGGTGGAGTTTTGAGCTTCTGTTTGGCAATCAGTTAATTAATAAACACTTATTAATTGCCTACTATGTACCAAGCACTATGCTAAGCACTGAGGATACAAAGAAAGGCAAAAGACAGTTCCTTCTCTCAAGGAGTTCACAGTCTGATAGGAGAGACAAGGTAAAAACAACTATATTCAAATCAGCTATATACAGCATAGATTTGAGATAATCAACAGAGGGAAGGCAATTGAATTAAGGAGGCTTGGGAAAAGATTTCTTTCCTTCGGGAAAGAAGGTAGGGTTTTAGCTAGGACTTGAAGGAAGCTGGGGAAGCCAGGAGGCAGAAAAGAGAAGGGAGAGAATTCCAGGCAAAGTAAATGCTTAATAAATGCTTGTTGTTTGATTTCTTGACCCAGTCTTGGAGAGATATCAGCAGGGGCCCACTGGAGTTATATATGTTCTTTTAACCCCATGGCCTCAGGAGAGGGGAACCTCAGACTCTAGGATAAGGAAAGGAAGGGTTTCTTAAACAGTTCAAGTACCTAGGGAATTTAGAGAAGCAGGCTTCTAGAAGTAGGGATGAAGAAGTACTTGGGTAATGCCAGCCTAGGCTTGCCTCTAGCAAACCCAAGTTTGAGAGTTTTGGGACCCAGCATTTGAGAAAGGAGGGAGAGAAGAAGATGAGGATGAGGAGGAAGAGGAGGGAGGGGAGGAAGAAGAGGGAGAGGAGAGGAGAGGAGAGGAGAGAGAGAGAGAGAGAGAGAGAGCACTGAGGCAGACAAGGAAGAGATTATTCAAGGTCATTTGGTTGCTGATGTGTCTTAGAACAAAGATCTTGGACTGAGGCTGCCAATTGGGGTATATTATAAAAGACCAACCGTTTCTCCAATTTCCCCTGTTTGTTTCTCTCAGATAGCTGGTACTGTTATATACGCTTTTCTTTTTATCTTTTGTACAGATCTTGCTTCATATAAAAAACCCCCCCACCATTGTAAATCATGAAGGCTCGAATTAAATGTTTGTATACTTAATCTATGCCAAGAAAAGAAGAATTTTTCTCTTTTATTGGGCAGAGCCATTGGAAAACTGGGTAAAAAGAGTGCTCTTCAGGACCCAGGCACCACTGAACTAGCTGAGGAAGCCGGGCATCAGACCTGGGCTCGGTCTGGAGGCCTCAGCCTGTGGTAGAGTCCAAATCTATTCATTGAAGGCACTAATGGGGCAGGGACCTAAACAACCATGGTCTAGGTTGGATCTTTTCCACTTATTATTGTAGGCCTCCCGAGTTTTATCCATCTTGTTAGAAAGACCACCTTATATACTCCAACTTATAATAGGAAACTCTAGTTGAAGGGTGATGTTATGACTCTTATGATGTTATTATCCATTCAGTAGTAACTGGATTTGTTACTAGGGCCTAATAACAGATGAGTACCTGTTTTTCCGAAGTGGTATAGTAATTGATCACTATGGGGAACTTGTACTCTGGAAGCCTAATGATCATCAAAACCAATCACTTCTTGATGACTGCCAAAGGCTCTATTTGGCCTGCTCTTTATGGACAGAGACATTCAAAACCATCAGCACCAGGGAGTCATGAAGGACAAGAGCCTGCTGGACAGCTGGTTTTAGGTTCTCCAGGGTTGTAGCTTGTTCTGGACCCTACCTGAAAGAGGCAGACTTGCAAATGACTAAATAAATTGGGGTCAGCAGGATGCCCAGGTAGAGACAAAGAGTCCACCAGCTCCTGGGCTCTGTATTGGTTTGTGGTGAAGTAATCATCAGCCATTTGCTCCAGATCATGCCAGGAATAATTTGAATTCTCCCCATTCACAGTATCCCACCGTTTTTGAATGGGTAGGTTGGACTTTGTATTTTCTTTAGGTTGATTTCCTACCTCTTACCCTTCATATAGGCTACTTTCCAACCTAGAGTCTCTGCTACCATGGCCTTATCCTTGGTCAACATGATGTCATCAATATTGTGATGGATATTAATGCCTTCAGGGACTGAGACTTCTTTCAGGTCTTTGCTCACCAGATCATTGTTCTACCAGGTAGAGTTAAGTCAGCCCCAAAAGATGGTGAAAGTATACTGGACTCTTTCATATATGAATTCAAACTCCTCTTGGCTAGTTTCATCCACAGGAAGAGAGAAAAAGGCATAACCCCATACCACTCACCCATGGCCTGGGCTGCCTGTTCTACCATACAGGAGGTTTGGAATGGTTATAGTAATTGACATGACAACTCTGTTCGGCATCTTGTAGTCTACTGTAAGTTGCCAGATGACATCCACCCTACTCATTGGCCACATAGGGTTATTGTAAGGAAAGAGGTGGTAGCAAAGTACTTTAGCTTCCTTTGTTTTCCTCACTAAAGAAGAAATAGCTTTTGTACCTCTTGGGACCTGGTGTTTGGTGCTAACTATATAGGATTAATTAGGCAACTCCAAAGGTTTCCGTTTAGCATAATGCATAATAACTGGCATAGAGATTGCTATCAGTGCTCATATACCTACTGACTCCTAAGAGTGCATGTTGTACTTGAGTGACCTGGGACTGCCAACACAAGGTCCTTATAGAAAAGGGTATCAACACCCTCGGCCCATCTAGCAGGGTAGAGGATGGCATACTTTGCCCTGTTATCCCCAGAGTGCCCTAAGTTCCTTTTTACATTGATAGTTGCTATGTTGAGGAATTCAATTTTCTCTAGTTGGTGTGTGTGTGTGTGTGTGTGTGTGTGTGTGTGTGTGTATGCATGCATATCTAACAGCTTCTGACATTGACAGATCTTAGGATCTAAGGGACCACGGTAAGGTAATTTATAGCCAGTCCACCAAGCCTATCTTTTAAAATTTTAATTAATTTAATTTAATTAAATAATTTAATTTAATTAAAAGTGTCTTTCTCATTTTATTTTTAATTTTGTCCCCTCCCTTGACAATGCCCCAGTGGAGACCCATTACAGAGGGAGATCATCTTTGCTAGGCTGGTACGTGAAACTCTTCATCTTAGCTATCTGAAAATGGAGAGAGTCCAATTCCCATCTGGGGCCACTAACCATTTTAACTAACTTTGAAAGTGTAAATCCTCTATGAGATTCCCCAAACTAATGAAATTGGAAGCTGAGAAGAGACATGCATCACCCTATTTGGACCATGACCTCACCAATCATTGTTCTAGTGACTCATCAGAGTCTTGTCTAAACATATCCTAAGCCTCCTCAACTTCTTGTTAGTCAAAGACCACATGCCCCCTCACCCCCAAATTGGAAGTAACCCCTCTAGGGGTGGTGACAGGATAAGCTCAAGATTTCCTCACTATTGGGGAAGGCTCCTTTTTTTCTCCTCACTCTCACTCCTATTATCTCCCTCTACGGCCCTGATTTCAGCAGGGCTATTTCACTTTTTGTTTTATCTCCAGGTTGGAGACTATAGTTAATGCCCATAGGTCAGTCTCTGTTTCCATCAGTTTCACAGCTTTTATTTGTGCTATTACTCAGTTCATGAATTGTAACTCTGACTTTAAGGTACAATCCTCAAAGACCAAATGCGCATTCACATCCATTTCCAACAGCTGATGGTTTGCTTTGGGTTTCCTTAAGCTGGCAATCCAGTTTTTCTAGGGCCATTAACAACAGGCAGGAAATGCATGCCAAATAATGTCTTTATTCTCCTTGTCAACTTCCTTGAAAACTCAAAGACTAATCAATGAAGACCCCTTTTTGACCCCATGGGGAGGACTTGCTTTGTGTGGCTGAAAGTACCAGTCTTCAGGCAGCTAGGTGGCGCAGTGGATAGACTGGCCCTGAAGTCAGGAGGACCTGAGTTCAAATCCAGCCTCAGACCAAATACTTGACACTTAATAGATGTGTGACCCTGGGCAAGTCACATAACCCCAAGTGCCTAAAAACAAACAAACAAACAAACAAACAAACAAACAAACAAACAAAAGTACCAGTCTTCTATATCAGGCCACCCAATCACATGGAACTCCTCTCTTTCCCCACTTTGGTTACAAGATCATTATATGTTGATCCTATAGGCTATTCCAGATGTTCAGGGTCAGATGAATCTGGTAGTTCAGGCTAGGGATTAGAATGAAATGAGACACTTACAAATCATGTAACACTTAACAAAAGAAGGTTATTCAACAGTAGCATGGAAGAGACATTCAGCAAGGATGTGATGTTGTTTCACTTGGACATTGCTCAGCTTGGTCTCATTTCCCTAATTCCCTACAGTGGCATATTCAGTCAGAGCCACATCCTCACCCCTCTTTCACATAATGGTTTTTTAAAAAAATTTTCCATTTGCTAATGTATAAGACACTTCAATCCTGTCAAGGGTGGGAGCTACTTCCTTAAAAAGCTGTGTTCCCAGTGTGGTCAGCTATTTTGAAAATAAAAACTTTGAGCAATCATGCCTGCTAAAATAAAAGTTCTACAATGGATTATATAAAATTGAAAATATTTTTTAAAGAGTTAATGTAATTAGACTGAGAAGAGAAGCAGTCAACTAAGAAAAGTCTTTGCAGTGAATTTCTTTGACTGCTATGTAATCTATATAGGGAATTGATACAAATATATGAGAACAAGAGCCATTGCCCAATAGATAAATAGTCAAAGGACATAAAAAACCAATTCTCAAAAGAAAATAGGTGGTATATAGATTACATAAAAATATTCCAAATCATTAACATGAACAGAAGTTCAAATAAAAATAATTCTGAATATCCACCTTGAACCCATCAGGTTGGCAAAGATGACAAAAATGGAAAATAACAATAGTATGTATGTGAGGTGATATTCAAGGAAAGACACAGTTAGGTACCGTTGATGGAGTTTTGAATTGATCTAACCATTCTGGAAAGCAATTTGGAACTATATACAAAAAAATCACTAAAATCTGCATGCCTTTTGACCCAGAGATAACACTACTAGGCCTATACCTTAAAGAGATCAAAGAAAGAAGAAAAGGAACCAATTGTTGAAAAAAAATATTTATGGCAGCTATTTTTGTTGTAGCAAAGAACTGGAAACAAAGTGGATTCCCATTAATTGGGGAATGACAATAAATTGTAATATATGAATGTAATGATTTATTATTGTGCCATAAGAAATGACAAAAAGAATCAATTCAGAGAAACCTAGGAAGGTTTCTAATGCAGAATGAAGTGAGAAGAACCAAGAAAACAATTTATACAGTTACTATAACAATGTGAAGGAAAATAATTTAGAAAGATTTAAGAACTCTGATTGGTGTAATAACCAATCATGTCTCCCAAAGGATGATAATGAATCATGCTTCCCACCTCATGGCAGAGAGGTAATGGGTTAGAGGCTGCAGGTTGAGAGATATATTTTTGGACAGGGACAATGTGTGAATTATTTTGCTTCATTATGCTTATTTGTAACAAAGTAGGGCTTTTATTTTGGGGTGGGAGAGGAGAATTGGGAGGGGATTTGTGGGATAGTGATAATGAAGCAAAAAGAAGAGGAAAGAGCATGAATGAAACAAGAAAAATACATCAAAGAAAGTATAAGGATGTACAGGAGACATTGACAAGCAGGGTGGTATTGGCACTGTTGTGTTAAATGTAATATACACTTTAACAAAAGAAGATGTATATAATGGTGATTTCATATACACAGTTTCATATACAATTCTCTTTTTCTGTTCTTTGTAAATATGTTTGTTAAGTTCATAATGAATATATTTTTAAATAAAATAATTTATATAACAGGGTAGGTTCCAGGATTTAAGAGTTGAAAGAGACTTCTGATATTGTCTTATTTTACAAATCAGTAAGATGTGGACTTAGGAGGTAAAGTGATTTGGCCAAATTCATGCATCTAGATAGTGGTTTGAACTCGACTTAGGAGCCAAATTGCCCAATTCTCAACCCAGTGCTCCTTTCTTTATGCTGACAAATGATTTATCTTCTGAAGTGAGATAATATTAATATATTGGTTATTCACTCTCAGTTATAGCATGAAGAATTCTATAATTCCTGAATATTTTAGGACATTCCAGTTACTTTAATCTGACTCTATATATGGCTGCCTGCCCTTGGGCTAGAGTTCCACTTAGGACTTTGGCTATCTATGGGCTGGATTTTTCCGGAAGGGGCTCATGAACTGTCAAACAAGAGCTTTCCCAGGATTGTGACTGCCCTTCTAATGTTCTTTTCTTCTCCCTACAGTACTGGATCAATGAGTACACCTCTACCCTGGGCATTGGTGTGTTCCATTCAGGCATCGAGATTTACGGCCGAGGTAGAGCCTCCTATACAGTTAACTGGGGTGGCGTGGGATAGGGTTGTGGTGCTGATTTAATTTGGGGCTTTTGCATGTGGGATGATGGGCTAATCCTGTGAGGAGAAGGTATGACGAAGTTGGTGAGTAAACACATAGGTTATTGGGAAATGCAGAGAACAAAGTCCAGAAGAAGTAATTGGTCTGTTTTCTGTAACACTCTTAGCAACTTTTACCTGAGAAGTGAAACTGATGGGGGAGGAAAGAGGAGGAATTCTTGAAGGGGGTCATTTTTGTAGGCTATGTTCAGGTCAGATACAAGGGCATCTCCTAGTCAGAATGAGACAATGGCCCTAAAGTCTGGGAAAACTTTCATGATACCGAACTAGTAGGTAGATGGTGCAGTGACTTAGATCATCATTGCATTCTGGAAAAGTGATCCAAGGGCAGGCCCCTTAGAGAACTCTAGGCAGATTTTACATAGGACCATAGATTTAGAAGTGGTGGAAACTTTAGTGGGTCAATTAGTATATCTCCAACTCCCTCACTTTATAGATGTTATAATCCTCCTGCAAAAATCTCCAACATCATTTCCTTTTAGAAATTATTGTAGTACTTTGAACAGAATGGAAATATAAACCTCATTTAAAAAAGTCACAATAGCCACAAGAACTCAGACTTTTGAGTACTGTGGTCTGACTATATCAAGACTTGAAAACTAAGAGTTTTTGGGCATAATCTTGTCACATCATAAGTGTATAACCGCATTATTTTGTTTTTAAATAAAAATTTCTTCTGCAAACAAGGAAATACAACTTAGTAAAATTATACCATAGGGCAACTAGGTGGTCCAGTGGATAGAGCACTGGGCCTGGAGTCAGGAAGATCTGAGTTCAAATTTGCCTTCAAACACTAGCTGTGTGACTGGGCAAATCATTTACTCCCTACTTGCCTCAGTTCCTCATCTGTAAAATGGTGACACACTGGAGAAGGAAATGGCAAATCACTCCAGCATCTTTGCCAAGAAAACCCTATGTATAACATCCATGGGATCATGTAGAGTTGGACATGACTGAACAATAACAAGTTATACTATACTGATGGAAAATCTTTAAAAATGGACTAGTTGTGGTTTGTTGAAAGAGTGGGAAAAAAGTGAGCTACATATTGAAGCTCTGATATGTAGCACCTCAAATTTATGAGCCCTACACATTTTTTTTAGGCAATTGGGGTTAAGTGACTTGCCCAGGGTCACACAGCTAGTAAGTGTCAAGTGTTTGGTTAGAGGCCAAATTTGAACTCAGGTCCTCCTGACTTCAGGGCCGGTGCTCTATCCGCTGCACCACTTAGTTGCCCCCAGCCCTACACATTTGAGATGAAGACATGCTCATGTTTTAATAGTTGAATCACACCTCCATGTGTTCCATTTCCAATGTGGCATCATTTCTAATGTGGTCAAGAGAGGTTACATTATTTGTATGAGGTCATATAAGTAGTAAGTTACAGGAATAGGAAACCCAGTAGTACTCTACCCTCTTGTCCTTCATTTTAACACTTTTGGGGGTAGGTCATGCTATTCATGACAAACTTGCTATCATATTAGGGGAGGACTTTGAGTTAGATACAAGTTTTATATTCAGAATTATTCATGATTTAGGCTATGTTTGGTATCAGAGAGGTGGCTATATGTGTGTTCTGAGCAGGAAAAACCCTGTAGGAGTGTAGGGTCTGCCTGTAGGAATATCCAATGGGCCCTAGCCTCCTCCTAGAAATGGTAAGAATCTCTATATTCAAAGCCCTCATATCTCTTTCTCATTGATAGTGTCCCTTGTCTTCATTGAAATGGGTATATACTAAGCAGGTGGTTTTACTATGATTGGAAAAGGGAACGGGAAAATCCTGGGAGTCAGGAAGGTAGAAACTAGAGCCCTAAGCCTAGACCAGAATACTGTAGGGGCTGGGTTCAACTTTGTAACCCAGTTATAGCCAATATTGGGATTAAGAAGAAGACCATTGGTGAAGATCAGGAGGTTTATGATGAGAGAGTTGGGAGGGTTGTGAAGGATGGGGGACTATTGGGGAGAGAAAGAGGAAGGTCCCAGAGGGCAAAGGCAGAGACTACTGTCTTGATGACACAGCCAAGAGAAACCTAATGGTGGTTAGTTCTGAGGCATCTTCTCTGATTTATCTGACTCTTGTGGTTTCTTCCTCCCTTGTTTAGAGTTTGCCTATGGGGGCCATCCTTATCCTTTCAGTGGGGTCTTTGAGATCACACCTGGAAGTGCAGTGGAGCTGGGAGAAACCTTTAAATTCAAGTAAGGACCCTTCCTCCCCCAGCCCTTCTTCAAATCCTTTCCTAGACATCCTTTCAGGGAAGTTCCTTATTTGGGCCATTAGTGCCCTTCCTCAGTTGGCTTAAGCTCAGGGGTCTATCCCAGGGGGCTTCTTCAATGGATAAAGTTATGAATATGATCCAGAGGATGCTGAGGTGGCAAACTGGAAACATGAGGGTTTTGGGGAAGGTGTTCAATGACATATACTTAGTGTAGGAAAAGAAAGGAAGGAGGGAATGGGGCTTGACCCATGTCCTCAAACTGGATGAATGATTATTCATACTTTTACATGAAGTCACCCAATGTCCTAAGTCCCAATGTCTGCAAGGCATGCTTCTGAAATAGAAATTGGGAGGAGCTCAGATGTTCAAAATTCAAATATGCTGTGCTGGAAAGAATCTCGTTTTATGGCCTTTCATTATTGCTGACTCCATGCTGGTATATCTTGGGAGAATGCATGAGGAACCAGGTCAAATAAAGCCCTAGTTCCAGGCTCTATTCTCACTTTCCTGTCCCCCTCAGGACAAATATTAAATTTGCTCTAAGTCCATTGCATTATTGCTCTGGCCACTCACTCTTCTCTCACAAGTCTGAAATGTATTGCTGTGGCTCCCAAGTTCAGCCTTCACATTTGCCAGCACTGATTCTCACTCATCAATCTCACAGTAATATACCCAGAATTCTCTCACCCAATAGAGAATTCTTTTTAAGCTTCCACATTCACAGCACCTAGGGCCACAAGCTATTACTTAAGTTTGCACAGCATTTTATAATTAAAAAAAATTTCACAAATATGATCTTGTTTAATCCTCATAACTACATAGGGCATCAGCTCATGCATGTATTATTATTAATTATTATTTCCATTTTATAGAGGAGGAAACTGAGGCTTGGAGAGGTTGTATCTACACATGGTCACATGGCTAGCAAGTGATGGAGTTGGGTTCTAATCAATATTCACCATCCCTGAAACTATTTTTTTGTGCTTCTAGTAAGCGCTTAATAAATATTTGTTGATTGATTTTAAATATTCTGCTTCTTCTTCCCCCAACTGCAAATACCCATTTCTCCTTCACAGACACTCCCATAAAGTTGGAGAAGGGGAGAAAGAAATCACAAAAGGACACAGCTACTTTTATTGTCCTCCCTCAGAACCACAGTGTTTTGTGCTCCGTCTGTGTGTGTGTGTGTGTGTGTATGTGTGTATATATGTGTGTGTGTCATGTGTATTTTCATGTATATATTGGAGGATCTATAGCCTTCCAAGTTGGAGCATATAAATTTAAGACTTTAGAAGTTGGACTGGTAAATAAACAGAATGATCATTCTCTACCACACTAGAGGAACTCTTTGGTGAACCAAGCTCCATTTTCCCCTCTTGCTTCTCAGGCCTCTTGGTCAATGGGGTTGTCCCTACTATCCACAGGGGTTGGCTGTACACAGCTGGAGGTCTTCTCTCACCTTAGTATTTCCTGCCACAGAGAAGCCATAGCCCTGGGCACCACTGACTTCACAGAAGAAGATGTGGACAAGATCTTGGAGGAGCTGGGGAAGGAGTACAAAGGCAATGCCTACCACCTCATGCACAAGAACTGCAACCACTTCTCAGATGCCCTGGCAGAGGTGAGCATCAGCCGGGGCCTTGGGTTCATTTATTCACTTCATTCCTGGCCTAGGAGGGGAGTCATGAGACCTTGGTCCTGGTGCCAGCTCTGCCAGTCCCTGTGTGACTGTATTTGAGTCACTACTTCTCTCTGGACTTCATTTATAAAATTGTAATGGGGGGTTGGCACATGCTTAGACCCCTTCAAGATAGCATCACCAACTTTAGGTGGTCTAGACATGTGCCAAGCCCCCATTATAAAAGTAAAAAGGGATAGACTAAATAGTAAGATTCAGCATGGCCTTAGAACAGAGATTCTTAAACTGGGGTTCATGAACCTGCTTTTTAAAAAATATTTTGATAGTTTTATTTCTATATAATTCCTTTCTTTTGTAATCTCATGTATTTAAAAGACATTCTGAGAAGAGATCCTCAGGCCTCATTGGACTGCCAAAGGGAGCCATGATACAAAAAAGAATAAGAATCCCTGGCATAGAGGATAATGGACCAACCAGTCTTGGCATCAGGAAGACCCGGGTTCAATCCCTGCCTCTGAAATATACTAGTTGTGTGACTTTGAGCAACTCACTTAACCTCTCAGTGATGTAAGGAACTTTCTAAGTTGCTGATCTTCATTGATAGTTGGAATTTCCACATACTCTACATCAGTAGTTCTCCAAGTGTGATCTGGGAACCCTTGGGAGTCCCCAAGATCTTTTCAGGGCATCTTTGAAGCCAAAACTATATGGTAAATATTGATAGATCTCACATAAATAAAAGCTCGTGGGTAGGAGTCCTCAATAATTTTTAAGAGTCCTTTTGGTCCTGAGACCAAAAAGTTTGAGCTGCCTTATATTGGTGAAATGATAGGTCTGGGGCAGGGGGGGGATAATCTAAGTAATTAATTGCAGCTCTAAGTTTCATAACAATAACTACTGAGCAGTTACCATGTTCAGGCATGGGTGAGATCTAGAATTGAGATGTCTAGGCACTGTCCTAGGTACTATGAGATGATTCAAAGGAAGAGAAACAACTAGAACACTATGTATTCACATGAAACAGTTAAAGAAAAAATGTAAGGTACTGTAGGGACAAATGCATGATAGTGTATTGGGGACTGGATTGAGGGGATAGGCCTATGACCCACTTCCAGTGGCACATATATTCTGGCTGTCTCCTATGCTTGGAATTCTCTCCCTCCTCATCTCCACCTCCTGTCTTCTCTGGTAGAAAGGAAAGATATGATTATTACAAGTAAAGGGAATAGCCTGAGCTTTTTATTGCGAAAGCCAGGGAGCTTGAAAGGGCAGGGCATGGTAGGAGCCAGAGGAGAAATCTTTCGAGCCTGACTCAAATCTCTTTCTTGGCAGCAGCTTCCCTCTTATCACAGTTCTGCAGCAAAGGTGAAATTAAACCCTGCCCTTAGTGAGCTTTGCTCTTGTAACCACATCGCTCTTCTGGGTTTGCATCCTGGTTCACCTAGGGCAACTATTCTCAAGGGTGATGTCCTCAACATCTGCTGGTCTGTGATGCTCCTCCATGAACCCCATAGACCAACTGAAAATGCAAGCCATGGGAAAATGTACTGCTGATGATGTTGTTGTTGTTGTTGTTTTTTAAGTCTATTTTATCATTGAAAATTTTACTTTATAATGTAAAGTGCAGTAATGCAATGAGACAGAGTTTGTGAAAAAAAGAGACTGACTCTTATCTTTAGAAGTCAGGATCCCTTTAGGACTGATCTTGGTCCAGTATTGAACGATGAGATTGGAAGCCATGACTGAGAGTGACCCCTTAGAGGAGTGAAAGAGGAAGAGTGAACTAGCCCAGAATCAGTTTTTGTTGTTAGATTTTAGATCCTTATTCAGGAGGGCCGATTTCAATCAGCGTTGAGTACTTAATCCCTTTTTGGGAGCCACTTGTGTTTGAGGCTTATCTAAGTTGCTCTGTTTTGTTTTTTGGTCTGCTTGTCCTATTGTGGAATGAATTCAGAACTCTATTTGAATTGTTCTGTGCATAACAGAGATCCATTAGGATACCCCATATTTTTTCAGGGATCTGTTGGGCAAGTTTGAGGTGCCTTTTGTGTTGCTGTGTATTAGACTAATTTTCAATCAGGATGGTTTACTTGAGAGTGAGACCTCCAGTATAGTCCCTAAGGGGAGAGCCCCACATATTCTGGGAGCTCACCAGGGACTAGAGTCTTCTCTGAGAGAGGAGACTCAGTTTTTCCTTCTCCTTTTCTGTATTTTTCACAAATGTTAATTTGTTTGTATTATTCTAGTTTTCAATTTTTTTTTTCAGTTACTTGGGTTGGGACAGGTCCTTATAAGCACTAGGCAGACTGTAATCAATGCTAAGCTTTGTAAAACGCCATTTGTTGAATTTGCAAAACTTTGTATTTGGAAGTGATTTTAATCCTTAAGCCCACCCGTAATGTTAGGCCTGGGGCCTCACAAAAGACCATTAATTTTTAAGATGTCTAAGAACTGTGCTGAACAGAGTGTTTGGGAGCCTTTACGGGTCATTTAGGAGACCATTAAGATACTTCCTAGTGGAGTTTATTGGGACTTTTAAGGGCAAGGCACAGGAGGAGGCACTTGAAAGGACAATACTTGATTTTCCTCCTCCTCTACCCCTGCCCAGTTTTCAGAGAACTTTGGAGAATTAAGAATATGTTCCAATTGCATCCCAGTGCCTCCACGTCTTCTCCTGTTCTTCACTTCTCAATTCTTGCAATATAGCTTCCAACCTCATCACTTAACTGAAACTGCTCTCTCCAAAATTAACAATGATTTCTTAATTGCCAATTTAATGGCCTTAGCTTTGGTCTTCATCCTTCTTTATCTCTCTGCAGCATTTGGTTATCTTTTCCTGCTGATCACCTTCTCCTCCTGGACTTTCTCTCCTCTTTAGCTGCTCTCTCACAGTTTTCTTCTTACCTGTCTGACTGTTCCTCCCGTGCCTCCTGTGATGGATCTCTGATCAAGTCATTCCCATTAAGCATGGTTGTCCCACAAGGCCACTCCTCTTTTCTCTCTATGCTATCTCATCAGTTCCCATGGGTTCAATATCATTTCTATGTAGATAATTCCAAGATCTATACATCTAGCCCAAGTCTCTCTCCTGAGATCCAGTCCCGAAACACCAACTGTTATTGATTATCTCAAATTGAACAAAACTCATCTTCTCCCTTCCCCCTCTCCTTCCCCCTCAACCCATCCCTCTTCCAAACTTCCTTATTCTTGTTTCAGACACCGCTGTCCTTCCATTCAGTTTCTCAGCTTTGGTATTATCCTTTACTCTTCACTCAATCACCCCAAATATCCAATCCACTTAAAAATCTTGTTTCTACCATCACAACATGTCTTGTATGGGCTTCCTTTTTTCCACTCACATTACCACAATCCTAGTTCAGGCCCTCTTTGCCTTTCTTTCTTTTTTTTTTTTTGTTGTACCTCTTTGCCTTTCAATTGGACTACTGCTATAACCTTCTAATTCATCTCCCTTCCTCAACTGTCTCTCCTCTTAGAACCATCATCCACACAGTGAGCAAAGTAGTTTTCTTAAAGTACAAATGGCTAACATTAGACATCACATCCCTCTCCCCTTCCCTGCCACCCAGAAGTGTAGATCTGATCATGTCACTACTCTTTCCCGAACCTCCCATTTAATACACTCAGCTGGCTCCCTATTACTTCCAGGATCAAACATAAAGTCCTGCGTTTGGCATTTAAAGTCCTTTGTAACCTGACCTCTTCCTATCTTCCCAGTCTTCTTACTCTATCCTTCCAGCCTACTTGCTGATCCTTGCAGCAAAACCTAATCTCCTGTCTCTGTGCCTTTCTCAGGCTATTCTCAATACCTGAATTTCTTTCCCAACTCACTCACTTCTGCCTCACAGAATTCCTGACTTCTTTGAATGCTCAGATTCACTGCCTCTAGGATTCCCAGCCCTTCTAGAAAGCCTTCCCCTCTAAGGTTATCTTTCATCTGCTCTACATGTATCTTCTATGTACCTGTTTATTTACATGTTGTTTTCTCCATTAGACTGTGAGCTCCTTTGCTTTTTCTTTTTGTATCCCTAACACTTAGTACAGGGTCTGCCACATAGATGTGCTTGATAAATACTTATTGACTGAAGAAAAATTGAGAATATTTCAATCTACATAGAGGCATTATGGCTTAGGCAGAAATAGACTTGCCCACAATAAAAGGGGTTCTTGAAAATGTTTATTTGTGTTGTCCTTTTTTTTGGAAAATGTATTCATATTCCATTTATATTGTATTTGAAATGGCCAAGGAATTCATTTATACAGTTTTCTTTGATTTTCTGAAGCCTATTTAAAAGACCATCTGAAATGGAAAAAATATTGCATTAGCTTTTTTGGTTGCCATATTACTCTGGGGATATATCTATGTCTATATCTATATCTCCTTTTCAGATGAATGGATCTAGTCACTTCTCTCTCATATTGCAGTTGTACAGTTGCTTTTTGAGCCCAAATATAAAAGTTTACCTTAATCTCAATTACATCTCATCTTATTTAGAGTCAACCCAACATTCTAGCCTGTGAAGATTTTTCTGTATCCTGACTTTGTCATCCAACTTGTTAGCTATCTCTCCCATTTTTTGTCACCTGCAGATTTGATTAGCTTGACAGCTATGCCTTTATCAAGGTAATTAATAAAATGTTAAACATCCTAGAGGCAAACACAGATCCCTGGAGTGCTCAACTGAAGACCTCTATTGAAGCTGACATCAAGTCTTTTGGTCTGGCTATTCAACCATTTCTTAAAGCACTGCAATGGATTCTTGTTCAACTCTGCTCTTTTCACAAGTACTGCATGAAATACTTTGTCAAATGATTTACTTAAAATTTAGGTAAACTATTTCTATGGCATTGCCCTTATTTTCTCAGTAGAGGAATAGGTACCAGTTGTTTCTATAACCTGAATTGTCATTTACTTGGACCTTGTGACTAGAACTCATCAAATGCTTTCTGGTTTTCTCTTTATT